GAGAGAAATCACAGGCAATGTATGGATCTGGAGTGCTGATTACAAAGTGAAATATTTAACAAAATGAAGGGAAAAAATCCCTTTCCCACTTGTATTTTCCTTCTTTGATTTAGCTGAGCTTATTAAAGTAGGTTTTGTTTCAAGGGAATGCTGTATTTCAGCAGCTGGAATTCCTTTTACTCTATTAAGTAAACTACAGGGAGTTTCGTAAGGCAGTGCAACTTACACTGGGAAAATTAGGAATGCATGCATTAGTGATAGCTAAATGTTTCATTGCTAACAGTGGAATTAAAAAGACCTCCATGCTATTTTAGTATTACCAATATGCAGCAAATCTGCTGTGAGATGTGATCTGTCCTCCTAAAACCAGGAATCTGGAGAATGGTGAAATGCCCAAGGTCATGTCAAGACAGAGCTGGAAATAAAATCCAGGTCTCTTGATTGCCTGTGCAGAGATATATGTTAAAACAATTACCATCTGCATATCTGCCTGAAGAATTGATTGCTTAATTCAGTATCTGAACTAAAGAATGGTGTGGGGAAGAAAGGAGGAATTACTTTGCGTTGACCTAATATATAATAATGTTATTCCTGCAACAAAGTATTTCCTTTTGAGCAGATGGAAGTATTTTGCCTGAGCTAAAATAAAATGCAGTGTTTCATTTATTTCTTTTTAATTGAACAAGCTGGCTTTTAATTCACTATGCCTCAACTTGCCTCCAATTAAAAAAAAAATTTAAAAAAGAAGACACATTCAGACTTTTCTAGCAATCCTTCACAACTCCAATTTTTCAGTCTTAATTCTTAGTGGGGTTCAGTCTCAACTCACAACTTTTGTCATTCACTGCACTTTCCAGATAATAAATAACTGGCCTAAGAGCATCTTTCTCTGGTGTAAATAACCCTGGCTGTTGTGGAAGGCACTGGTGTAAAAACACCTTGACACCTGCACCACTTCTGGCAGAGTGAAAGTAGTCAGAAAGTCTGGCTGTGTTTTTCCTGCTGTGTTTTCAAGAGGTTCCCCAGTACTGCAGAGCAGGAGCATCCTGTTCCAACTCTCCGTTTCAAACTGGAGAGATTGAGCCATGAGGAGCAATTCCTACTTTAAGAGCTTCCAAAAGAGAATTTGGGAGTCTCTCCCACGAATACCAACATCACAGCATCCCCTGGCCCTCTTGGTCTGCCTGCTGGCTGAATCCTGTGCCTCTCCTTGGACCTAAAATCCCTGTTTAACTTGTGACACAGACAGGAGCACCCAATGTGGATGCAGGACTGGCCCTGCCAACTCTCTCCAGCCTCATTCCTGATGGGCAGCCAAGCCCACAGAGCCCAGTTCTTGCACACACCCTGCTCATCTGCCTCTGCTTGCTTTCACACACTGCAGGCAGGGAGCAAAGCAGGGCAAGACACTGCCCCACACTCTCTCTGCGTGTAAACCCCCAGTGCTGTGCCCTAGGCTGGGCTTGAGGTATTCCTGAAGCTCAGATGGGAAATAAAGAGCTGACATAACAGGAAGACAGTGTGCTGGTGCAGACTTGGTGAAAAATGGAAGTTTCTGTCCCCCCCTGCCCCAAGCAAAGCACCCCAGGGCTGTAAGTCACTTTGCTAGGAAAACACTGCAAAATTACTGTAGTCAGTTCATCTGGGCAAGGATGATTAGAGTAAACAGATGCTTCTGGGGCCATAAAATCAGCTGTGCTCCATAAGACAGAAAAATTGCAGAGCCAGGACTGTACCATGGGACAAAAGCCTTACAGAGTAAGTGATTTAGCCATGGTGAGAGTGGTAGCTGCAGGCAGAGAGGGCAGGCAGGGGAAAATAAGGCAGCAGCATTAGTGGGGCATAGTTTGACCTTTACAGACCTTTATTAACCCTACACTCACCCCTCCCTGCAGAAACAAAAATGGAAATGAGTAATGCTGGTGCCTATTAGAGTCAGGGCATTGTCTGAACACAAAGTCCTGTCCCCTTTGTTCTCTGGGAGGAGAAGGGATATAGGACCTCAGGGACTTGTGTTTGGGAGGCACAGGCTTTGGACTGGCAGCATATCCACACCACAACCTTGCCTCCATGGTCTTGTGAGCCATGTGCAGCTGGAAGAAGGGAGATTGTTCTGTTGCACAGAGCACAAGGACAGGAGCTGGAAGCTGGGTGGGTGACATGGGGACATCACCCACTGGGAGAGAACTGGATAAATCACTGCATGTAGGGGGCAGCTGCTGTGGGAGATGTCCTGAAGCAGCACACTTGAGCACAGCTGTCCTGCAACCCCTGACACCAGGCTGGGTGCCTTTCCTAGGTCCTTTCTCTGGAAGCTGAACTGTTCCATTATGCCCCATCCCTGGAAGTTTTCTGGTTAAATGGGCCCTGAGCAGCCTGAGTGGAATGTGGAATGCATCCCTGTCCATGGCAGGGGGTTTGGAAATACATAACCTTAATATCCCTTGCAACCCAAACCATTTTATGATCCTGTCCTTTAGCAAACACCATTTTAGAGTTCTTTGTTTTGCCTGGGGATTTTTAAGGTATCTGAGCAGTCAATCAAAGCACACAAACCCCATCAAAATTCAGCCAGAATTATGGCAGCTTGGTGTGAACAGTCAGTTCATTCTTCTTGTGCCTCTGTGCAGCCTCAAAGTGTAAGGACAGAAATGCAGTTATTGATAAATGAGGGAACTTTGCACAATCAGGTTTTATAGGGACACACATACAAATACACATCCATAGGGATGCCAGGTATAAAACTGGCACTGCTAAAGGCATGCATGGACTCACAGCACTCATGCACTGCACCACTGCTTCAAAATGCAGTCTTTGCTTGTGCAGTGAAAACAACCAGTTTTTCACCCTTCTGATTTTACAGCACCAAATTGAAATCATAGAATATTTTGATTCTCAGGTGCTACAGGTTAGAGCAGCCCAACGTGAATCCTCAGGGTCACAGGCATCTACATCTGAAGAGAAACATTTTGCTATGACCCTATTACTCAAAGTAGTTTCCAGCTTTTTTTGCCAGAGAAAGGGCACTCAGAAACAACTGACATGATAGCTGGAGGATGTGTATTCAGACACTTACACCCAGCCACTCTTCATGTTTGTCAAAGCAAAGCCAATGAACACGCTGAGTATTTTTCTCCTGTGCGCACCTCTGCAGTTATTTTCCTTTTTTTTTTTTCCAATTTCACAGTACAAACCAAAACCTGTGAAAATTCAAGTCTCCAGAGAGAAGACGACAAAATTTGGGCTCTTAATAACCACACATGTAATCTGCAATCTTAACAGCCACATGGACAGTATTAAATAACTCTACTGGAAGCATTTTACAGCTGTCTGCAGATACGAATTTGCTGTAGTGAGAAAAAAAAAGACAAAAAAAGCCTTATTTAAACACATTGCACATTTTCTCTAATACTGTTCTCAGAAGAAAAAGCATTTTAAACCCTGAGAGCATCCTTTCCTCAAGTGAAATGTGTTGTGGTGGTGCCTGTGTACACCAGTGCTGCATTACATCTGCATTTGTATAAGGAAGAGCCCTCCTCTGTGTGTGAGATTTATTCCAGAGTGTGTGGCACCAGTGGTGTGAGACATCTGCCTGCCCAGCTAATGAGAGGAGACTTCATTTAATTCCTACAAATGAGTTTATCCTACACACACCCTGGCATGATCTGTAGTTACCAAAACTGCCAATAAAATGTCACCTTGTCCAGTAAAATCAGTCATTGTCTTAGGAGCGAGGTAATGTGAAATTAATACAGACCATCAACTCGCAGCTACTTTAAAGATGACAGTTAATTAGCTATAATTAAAACTAAGTCATTTAAATACATGAATGTAGGAAAGTGTACTCTCTGTCCTGCCTGCTTTTTAGAATACCCTAATATCCCCCTCAATCTGCCAGCTAATGCATCATCTTGAGTTTAAGACCATCAAAGCATCTTTTAATTGTTGCTAATGCTCTGTTTACACCAGATTAATATCTAATTAACTGCAATTTGAATATTTAATCTATCTGGAAAGTTTAGATTTTTTTTTTCTATCAGAGGCTACAGCTTCCCTCCAGCGATTTTAAAGGCACAGTTCAACAGATTGCTCTCTGGAGCAACTCCTGCCACTCCTGCTCCCTGTTCTGTCTAGAGGGGGGTGTTGGTTATACCCCGCCACCACGGCCAGTCCCACACAGACCCTTGCACCTCTCCCCTGCAGCACACTCCTGGCTGGGGAGCGGTGCCCATCGTGCTCCAGGAAGGACTGTACTCCTGGAATGTCAGTTCCAGAAAGGTCTCAGTGCACTGCCAGCCTCTTCCTACAGAACTGACCCCGCTGTGGGATGCTTTAGTGGTACCCGGGTACCCCATCCAGAAGGACAGGGCAAGTACGGAGGACTCCCCCAATGTCACCCCACTGCCACCGGTGGCAGAGACCACTGCTGCCTCCGTGTCTCAACCGTCCCTTTGCCCAACTTAGCTCTCACTGCTCTCTAACTAGACCATGGGAAGGCAAAGAAATTCAGTCCGGCGCCTCTCCGGAGCAGGATAGCGAGGGGAGCGGGCAGATGCGGCCGCCAGGAGCTCAGCATCCCCGGAGCTCTGCCTGCCCCCGCAGACCCCTGCACAACCCCTCTCCCCCTTCCCTGGGCTGCCAGGGCGGACGGGAGCTGGCAGGAAAAGCTGCCACAGTGCGCTAGATGGGATTCCTCTCGGGGAAGAGGAGGGACGGGAAAAGGAGAAACCCGCGCGCACTTTCCCTTCCAATGATCCCAATCTCGCCGCGCACTGGAAAAGCCTCTTCTCCCCCCAGACCCCGCCAGGCAAGACCGGGTACGGTAATTTGGGCTCTCCGCAGGGCACTGGGGAAGCACTCTGCGGGCGGCCCCGCTCAGCCCCCGCGCTTCCCTGCGCTGCCCCGGAGGCTGCGGGAGCCGCGGTGCCCCCGCCTCCGCTCCGCGCTCCGGAGGATGGATGTTCCGGGGATGGATGCTCCGGGGATGGATGCGCCGGGGGATGCGGCGGAGCGGGCGTTTGGCGCATCGCTGCCCGGAGGGGATGGGATGGGACAGGGTGGGCTGGGCTGGGGGTCACTCACCTCGCTGCAAGGTGACCCGCGGCGCGGTGCTCCCGCAGGGGCGGCTCAGCGCCCCGGCGCTCCGCCCGGCAGCATCCCCGCGGCGGGGGCGGCGGCGGGCACCGGGCCCGGGGGATGCACAGCGCCCGCCGAGAAGGGGCTGCGCCGCCTGCACCGCCTCGGCGGCACTGTGCGCTCGGCAGGAGGAGGAGAAAAAGGAGGAGGGACGGAGGGAGAGGGAGAGAGAGGCAGGCGGAGGGAGAGAGGCAGGAGGAGAAGGAGCCCTGCGCGGCAGCGCGGCCAACTTTCCTTCTGCAGCGCAGCAGGAACAGCCTCCCGTCCCTCGGTGTGTAACCCCCGCCCCGGGTGAGTACGGCAAAGCCCTCCCCTCTCCGACCCCCCTGTGCTCCCTCTCCTCCTCCTCTCCAGGCCTTTTTCCCATCCATTCTCCTCTGTTCCCGCACACCCGGGCTCAGCGAGCCCTGGCGGGCACCGCTCCCCTCGCCTCAGCCCGGCTGCCCCACACCTTGCCCGGCAGCCCAGGGACTCCGGCACTGCTCCCCCAGCCACCAGGCACTGCCAGCACCCCTGCACAGCTCCCCAGGACCGTGGGGAAGCTCCAGCAGCTCTGGAGAACTTTAAATGTTTGAGGTTTATTTTTACAGCGCAATGCCGAGCGCACTGGGCTGCATCCCACGGCATCGAGGGGTGTTCCCCGCTCTCCTAACAATCCTGCGCGACAGGGGTAAGCCATGCTCATCCCTCATCCACTCCTCTTTCCATCCCCAGCAGGCCTGCTAGCCAAGTCATTTGCCTAAAAGCTTCTCTGTCACCACTTCTTTCTAGATGCTTCAACATCCGCGGCTCAAAACGCTGCTGGGAAATCACATGCTCCGTTTAGATCACCGCTTCCCTTTGCCTCCACAGGGACAGAGACACCAGGATGGAAAGCCCTGGCGCATTTTTGGTGCCTCCACCTCTCAGGGATACAGCTTCTGCTTCTCACTGCTTATTTATCATTTGTTATTCATAGTCCCCAAAGCAGGCATGCCAAATCTTTGCTGAAGGAGAATGTTCAAGATTCAAAACACAAGTTAACTCACTTGGTCCCATCTTAGGGTTTTTCTCCAGCCCTGCTTTCTCCTCTTCAACAAAATTTTATTGGTGTTCCAAACTCACTTTGTGTTTAGCATATCCTAGTGGTATTCACAGAAGATTTTTCTCTCCTTCTAAATATCTGATCCCTTGTTCATTCCTGAGTTGATCTGGAGTTCAGGGGGGCTTTGTATCTTAGAGAAAACAGTTTCTTCCTTAGTGTAATAGGCACTGGGAGACAATTCATACATAATCAGCAGAAAGAAATAGCCCCAAATTATGATCACCCTGATTCTCCAGAGTGTTTTTCACCTATTCATTTCTTGTGAATAGAAGTCTCTAAATCACCATCATTATGCCTTTATCAAGTAACACGTTTATGCCTTTCCATCCTATTTGTACAGGGACACAACTTTAAGGGGGGTTGGCTTGCAGCCAAAGGTATTTCAGCTCCTACAGTGCAAATTCATCAGTCATCACTGCTACTGATTGGAGGTACCAGCTGCTTTGGATGGATGGTGAATTCCTGCTGAAATTCATTTTTCAGTGACCAAATGTATTTGTGAAATACGGGGAAATCCAAAAAGATTTGTTGGGACTTTTTTTTTTTTTTTAAGAAAAAAAATTCATTTATGCAGAATGGACTGGGGAAGGGATTTCCCATCATCATTTGATCATCAAATCAAATTTTCTTGCTTCCAGGCAGTTTGTTTCCTTCTGGCCAAAACCCTAAAATATGGGTTTTTTTCCATAATGTTATCAAAGTGAGATTCAGTGACATCAGGGAAGTAATAATTTCCTCTAACACTGTTCCTTTGCGTTTGCCATTCTCCCTGAATCAAACTAGGCACATTCTTCTTTCAGTCTGGGAACACCATGGCACTTTGTGTCCATGAGGAAATCTGGTCTCATTTGGTTTACTTGAATTTTTCAGCAGAACCAAGAAAATCTAAGTAGAGGAGCAATCACAATCCAACAATGACAGGGGTTGCAAACATTGCTACAGACCAGAGCATACTTCTCCCTTTCTTTTAGTTAACCCCTTCTCTTGCCCAAAACCATCAAAGAATTTACCAATACACTAATTAACTCATAATTAACTAGTTTTAATTATGGCACTACATTTGCCATAAATTTTCCTGTTCCTTTTGCTGGAAAGCTGATGACTGTGCCTGATTTGATTTTGGTATTTGCAGCTCACTGGTACCCTGCAGATTTTTGGAGAAAATTCTTCAAATAGCAACAAAAAGGGGCTTGTGGTGGGGAAGGTGAACTGCAGCAGGGTAGTTTGTGATTTTGGTGGCTTCTCTTCAAGTGCAGCAGCATCACTGACAGTACTTCTCAATACCAGGTTGTGCAGTGCATCCTCAATGCATTGTGCTAGCACCTTTCACAGCTTATCAAGGCAAGAACTTGGGGGGTTCACGTGTCTAGCAGAGGTAGTTTTTATTTATATTTAAAAACTCTTCATTTTTGTTTCTAAAGGTGCTTTCCTCCACAGCTGATGGAGATGCAGGAAAGCTGCTGTGCAGACAGAAGCACAAAGAGGAACACAAAGAAATATTTGAAAGGAGCAAAGGTGGGGAGGAAGAAAGTTCACCTCCCTGAGTCTGATGGATGTTGGAGCAGGGCAGCCCATGATGGCTTGTGAGCCTCCATGGTCCTTCAGTTTCTGCCTGTGAGGAGCTAGGGATTTGGGAGCCATCAAGGCAGGATGTCAAAAAGCAAATGCCACCTGGAAGCAGAAATGAGCAGAGATGTACAAACAGCTTTTCTTACAGAATGGAGGTTTGTAGGAGGCAGAGAAGGGAGGAGACTTTGCAGGCATATATCACTGTAGCTTCAGGGAAATCAGAATGACCACGAGTCACGCTGAGCAGGGTTGTTACAGGATGAGTGTTGACCCAACAATTGGCCACTGCCTGCAGTGGCAGCGCCCTAAGGAACAGCACACAGTCCTGATCTTTGGTGCCCTGGGTGCCCTGCACCACAGCCTGGGAGAGTCCTTGGATACAGCTGTCCTGAAAGCCCCAGGGCCAAACCAGGTGGAACCAGCCCAGAGTGAGAGCAGGAGAGAGCCCTGGTCTGGGAGCCACACACCCAGTGCTGCAGGAGCAGCTCTGTGGAGGCCAGCATTCCAGGATTTCAGAGAACCATTAACTGCTGCACCCACTGATGTGCCAAAACGGGAGAGTCATGTTTCACTGTGGTCCTCAGCTGCCCAAAGCCAGAATCTGGGATGACAGGATGCATGCTCGGGACACCAGGAGTGAGAAAGAGGAAAGGCAGAGCCTTGCAAGTGTGTTGGTGGTCTGTAGGAAGAGCAGCAGCACCACCTATCACCGGAGAGGGAAGGAGAGAGGACACACCAGGTGCTGCTCCTCCTGCCTGTCCTCAGTACAAGACTGGAGCCCAGATTTTTAGGATCACCACAGAGAAACTTCCTTTTTCTAGCAGAGGAACCCGGCTTAAATCTTTCACTGCACTCCTGCTAAATCTTCCTGTGGGGCACAGCTAGCAGAAGGAGATGGAAGGGATGGAAAGGTGAAGGCTTTGGAGAAGGGCTGAGAGCTGGAATTTACAGAATAAAAATAATGACCTTTAGGTCTACAATACCCAAAGAATTGCTCATCACTCAGAGGGCACAACTGTGGACCCTGTGCTCCAAGATGTGCAGGGCTTTTGTCTCATTCTGTCAGTCAAAAATCCTGGCACCAGAATTATTGGTATGGTCTCAACCATATGTAGCTTGATTATAATTCAGAGTGAAGGAACAGAGCAATCAGGAAGTAGCCCAAAATCTGTAATTTCTTCTTGCCAAAGGCAAAAAGAATCCAATCCATGTAATTGGATCCAACCCCAAAGGCGTAGCCAGGAGTGCTTGTAACTTTCTGAGAAAGAAAAATTGGTTAGCTGGAGTGGCTGAGCTGTGTGGGTGCTGAGGTTCATGTTGATTTGTTTGCTGGTAGTTCTGAAACCAGAATAAAAATGAGAGTTTGGATTAAGCCAAGCTGAGCACGTTTTTTCCTTATTCTGTATTCACAGCAAATCGACAAGCAAAAGATACAATTTTTTGGCTGAGTGAATGATGTAGCTTAGCTCAAGATCAAATATTTCATTGCTTTGAACTCTTCTTTATAAACTGGATATGCATACTTACTTGCAACAGAGGAAAAATCTCAACACAATCACTGTCTGCCTAATTAAACCAGAAGTGGCTGCTAGATATCATCTGCCAAAAGAATGAAGGAGGTCTTTGCATCTGGTGCTAAATTAATTTGGAAGGACCTGTTAGGAAAAGTGGGACAGCACTAACCTTTTATATATTCCAGTGTTTAGGAAGAGTTGTCTGTATCTCTTCTGCCTTAAACTAGTTGCTTGAATTCAGCCAAAGCAGCCCAGTTTCTCGTTTGTCCAGAGCTGGGGGACTCAGAGACTCAGAAAAAAAAAAAACCTGCACTGCTTTTCTTTTGCCATCTGTGCCTTGCCTCTCTGCATACAGCCCTCGTGTTTGAACTTTTTGGGACTCTTCCAGGAAGCCTTACAGCAAGTTCTGGCAGCAATGCTTTCCTGTCCAAAAGGTGGCTCTCTGACCAGAATGGGCACCTCCAAGGGAGAGGGAGCTGGTTCATTTTTGTGCTGCCTTGCACTGGCCTTTGGAGGTAGAGAGGAAAGGCACAGCTTAGTGCTAATTGAGATGTGGCCATCTGTCAGACAGAAAACATGCCAAGGCCACCTTGTGACTTTTTTATAAAGGAAGGAACCAGCCACTGGTGAGATATTTAGGTGCTGCAGACATTGAACCAAGGTAAATATCAACCAAATATCTGAAATGATAAAGTTCCTCTTGGATGTGATTAAGCATTGTAAATTCAGGCAACCCTGATGAGAGGAGAGAATGAAGAGGAGGACTCCATCTTATCAGAAGGCTAATTTATTATTATATTATATTATATTATATTATATTATATTATATTATATTATACTATACTATACTATACTATACTATACTATACTATACTAAAGAATACAGACAAGATACTTACAGAATGCTAAAAAGGTAATAATGAAAACTCGTGACATTTTCCAGAATCTCAACACAGCTTGGCCCCAGTTGGTCAATGAGCGAAAACAACTCACACCAGAATCCAATGGAAAAATCACCTGTGGGTAAACAATCTCCAAACACATTTCAAAGCAGCAAAACAAAGGAGAAGCAAATGAGATAAGAATTGTTTTTCTTTTTTCCTGAGGCCTCTTGCTGCCTTTCAGCTTCCCAGGAGAAAAACCCTGGGTGAAGGAATCATGTTCAGAGAATGTGAGTGCCACAATTAAGGATCTCCTGAGTTATCTAGCATCTCACCTTTAATGCCTTTTCATCCATGGTGAAACTGCTTTGTTGAAATCAGACACTCTTTTGGAGCTGAGTGCCATTAAATTTGACCCATTATGGATTGTTCAGGCACCCAGTGTGTAGGAACCTGTGTATAAACATGGTAAGAGACAGGACTTTCCCCAAAAATCTGATACTTTCTGTAGCCAGGACAGTAAAAGCAGGAGTTGGAGGCATCCTGTCCTGTAGGGGATCTCAGACCTGGATTTATATCTGGGCATGCTGATGGGTTAAATTAATTGCTGATGGGTAAAGTTAAATTTATTTCAGATCGTCACATTGGGCATCTGGAGAAGGCCTGGATGATCCAGGCAGTGCCAAGGGACTCAGCACAAGCCGTCTGTGGGAGATGCAACACCCTGGGGCAGCAGCTGGAAGCAGGGGGATGCTGAGCTGAGTCTTCTGCGTGTGATTCCCACTTGGCAACTATGATTTCAGGAGAATGCCAGGCTCTTTTCTGGCTGCCTGCAGCCTACACAGTGTGGGTGAAGCCCCACAGCTCAGAAGCCTCAACAGCAGCTGTGCACAAAGGACATGATGGGCTCCAAATTCTCCATCACCCTTCAGATTCAAACTAGACAGTGCCTGTCCCGTAACATTAGAAAAATGCTTTGGTGTTGGCAAAACCAAAAGAAAATTCCTTTTTCTTTCTGCACTAACAGGCTGTGAAAATAAAGAGGAGTCTGGTCCAAGGGATTTGGGATTTGGGATCAGGGATCCATGGAGGGAGGGGTTGGGAGAATAGGAATTTTGGGGAAATCAGGAATTTTGCCGTTCCTGAAGTGCCCCCACACCATCCTCAATGGGATCGAATCTGGTACCCATAGGGTCAGGAAAAGGGATTTGGGATTCGGGATCAGGGATCGGGAATGGGATCAGGGATTCAGGGAGGGAGGGGTTTGATCCCTGGGAATGAGGAATTTGGGGAATTTTGGCATTCCTGAAGTGATCGAGTTTGGTACTAATGGAGTTGGGATTTGGGATTTGGGATTTGGGATTTGGGATCTGGGATTTGGGATTTGGGATTTGGGAATTGGGATCTGGGATCTGGGATCTGGGATCAGGGATCCAGGGAGGGAGGGGTTGGATCCCTCGGAATCAGGAATTTGGGGAATTTTGGGGTTCCTGAAGTGCCACCGCACCATCCTCAACAAGATTGAATCTGGTACTGAAATTGGGATCAGGAACTGGGATCCAGCATCGGGATTGGGATTTGGGATTTGTGTTTGGGAATGAGATCAGGGATCCCAGGAGGGAAGGGTTGGGAGAACAGAAATTTTGGGGAAGTCAGATTCCCACTTCGTCTCCTGCTGCATCTCCCCGGGTAAGGACACATTGCCACTGCTCCTCAGGATGCCTGACAAGAGCCTGCAGACTTGTTAAGGCATGGAGGCAGTTTTAGGGCCTGGCCTCAGCATTGTCTACCTGGACAGACCATGGAAAACCACTGGGCACAGCAAGAGAGGGTCCTGAACCTGAGAGAGAACAAGAGGGAGAAGCTGAGGAAAGTTCCAGACAGCTCCGTGAGAACCAGTCAGATTTCCCAGGTGGAGAGGGGAAAGATCCTGATATGAAAACATGTGGAAGGGCAAAGGAGAGGAGACAGGCCAGAAGAATGGGACATCATGGCTTGTAAGGATTGTAGTCAAGGAGAAATGACTGGAATACTCTTCAGTGACCCCACAACATTTCACTGGATCCACTAAAAGAATGAATCCATCTGGCTGAAAAATACCTGGCTGCCAGGAATGCTCATTGAATTAACTGATTGAATTGCAGAGGGGAACATAAATTTATTTCTCTTATTAATTTTCCTGTGCTTATCTCTCTTTTATATATGATGAGTGGGGGTTTTTTTCACATGGAGTAACTTCTTAAGAGCAAGGACAGGATTTTCCCAAAGCAAATGCCCTAACAAATACCCTGGAGGCACTCTGGAGGTTCTCTGCATGTCCTGTGTGATGCAAAAAGCCTAGGAGCTTGTGTTCCCAGTGCCTTAGCTGCCAAGGTGGAATCCTGCTCTGACTCTGGAGATGTCTTGAGGCAGGCACGCTCCTCTTGTCCTAACCTAGCCAGAGCTTCCAGGCTGAGAGCACCGGGGCATGGGTTTGGATGAGTACAGGGAAGTTCCTCAGCAAGTCTGGAGTTTCAAAGACCCTTATCATTCCAGGGAAATAATTTTATTTTTTTTTTAAGCATGATCTTGAAAAAGGGCAGCTTTTTGTCTCTTGTCCTTCATGGGAAGAGGTCTGGATCCCAAACTCCTTTTACTTTTCACCTTACTCATCAGTCCCAAAAATTCAGATTTTTTTTCCCTACAATGAAGGTATCACCTATAGCCTGTAATTCTCTGCTGGTCTCTTTGTATATTACAATATATATTTGCATATATAGCAGAATTTTGAGGTGCCTTCTCAGGAAAGAGATCTGTAGTGGAAAAGGGAGACATTTTCCATGTAGAGACAATACTAAAGGTGCTCAGGGACATGTCAGGGCTCTGGTGTTCAAGAAAAATCTCCGAATTGAAATCAGTCAAGGGTTGTGCTTCCAAATTAATTGCATGCTTCTGTCCTTAGCATCTGGGCATGGAATCAAAACTGATGAGCCAACAAAGCAGCACTGAGCTGCTCCTGAGAGCAGTCACCATCAATAACGAGAGATACTGGGAGAAATACTCTTTGAAATTCAAATCACAGGGGGCATCATTTAAAAGGGAGTGCAGGGGGAGCAGGAATACCGTGCACCATACATTAATTGTCATGCATGTGACAAAATCTTCAGTGTTGCTGTTACTTAGCATCATAAAATTTACTCCCAGATTATGAATACCATAGCAGGGATGAAATAATTAAACTGGCAGCCCATTTCCTCCGAACTGGAGGCCAGGCCTTCAGCTGGTGTAAATCAGAGCAGCCACACTGCACAGACTTGGTTTTACAACCAGTTGGGAAACAGAGACATTTATCCTAAAAAGGGAGAGCTGGAAAAGAGCTCAAACCCTTCATCACTTCATGTTGTCCCTTCTGCCCCAGAGGGAGTGTAAGCAAGCAGGGCTGAAGTCACTGATCACCTGGAACCTCTCCCAGAGCACAATCTGGAAACGGCTCCCAGTGGATTTAATGAATTAAATTTGGAAGGTTAAATATTTAATAACATGCTGGTGGTTTCTTCCAAATTGGCACACCCTGTATCCCATTCCTTTTATACCCAAACCTACCAGAAATACTCACAGAATCTGTTATGGCAGAAATGCTGTATTATGTGGGCAGGAAAAAAAACTGATTTAGTGTTCATCACCCTGTCCTCCCCTTTCAAGCCCTCTAGCTTTCTGTCTGCCTTTCTGGCCACATTTGGAGACATTCCTTCAGTGGGACCCAAATTCTTAAGCTCCTGTGGCATCCCAAACTGTCAGAGGTACCAGACATTCATCATCTTATTGTTTGGTTACCCAAAATATGTACATGGTCAACAGCCATCTCTTCCAGATGAACTTCTTTGGCATTTTGGGGGGTTTCTTTTTCTTTCTTATTTCTTTTTTTTTCCATTTCTACAGTAGAGTTTTACAGGCACCATCTGGCCCTGAAATTTTCCATTAAAATTGCTTTTCAGCAGAAATTCTTCGAGGTTTTGGGGGGTTTTGTGGTTTTGTTCTCCCTTTCATTCTTTTCAGCAGGTGTTCATTCTCATTGGGAGCTTTGGTGGCTTGCAAAATGAAAATTTAACTTTTCTCCACAGTGTTTAGGTGTTGCAACTCCTCATTTTTTCATTTATAGAAAACTGCAGTGTTTAAGGGCCTGTTTTGTTTTGGGGCATATTTTTGGAAGAAATATCACAACTTCTGATTAAGAACCTCTCCATATTTCACAGCTCTTTCCACATTCCACAGCGGGTTATCCAATTAAAGATACTTTGGATGAATAACCCAATACTTCTGAAGTCCAAATATCTGTATTTTTGATGCTAGATCATTGCCAATATTTTTCTTCTACTACTGACGAAATATCACTATGTTACACCAGTTTTTATGAGTGTCTTGGAAATTTTTCTTCGCTTGATTAGTAACAGATTCTCTCTTTCACAATAACTTGTCTCCATTTTAAATGCCTCTTACCTGCAAGCAATCAAGTCTGCCAACTTTACCCACCTCTTGCAATCTACCTGTTTTATAAATTACTTGAATCACTGGGGCAGGAACCCTCCTCTTTCTTACATTTCTGTGTAACACTTACAAGGGAGGCAGGGAGAATCTAAGACTTGGGATTTACAGCAGCCTCTGCACTTCATAATTAATGAATGGTAATAATATTGAAAAAGTGGCTTTTCCCTCCTTTTTTAGTCCAAAAATTTCATTTTCTCCAGGGAGATGGAGAACAAAGTCCCATTGGGGAATTGTCTACTGCACCAAGACAAAAACTTACAGCAAATTATGCTGAGCATATAAAATGCAGAAATCAGTCCAGACTGCTCAAGACAGTGAACAAAGCAGAGCTACTGGACCTGAATTGCCATGTCCAGCACAGTTCTGACCTCAGAGGTGGTCACTCAAAGCTTTGTCACCTCCAACCATTGGAATTTCCAGCTACAGAGAAGGCAAGGAAGGAGATGTTTGCATTTTGTGTAAAACAGTTTCAGCTGGGGTGAATTGGCATGGCTGGTGTGATTAGACTGAAATTCATTAGGTAAAACCCTAAGGATCCTATGGCCCATGACCCTATCCTAACTCTGCTTTTTCAAAAGTGTAAAACATATGAACAGTTTGATCTACACTTAACAGAAACAGAAGTGTGCCTATAATCTCAGTTTTTCATATGCCAGAAGACTTGGTGCAGGCTGCAGGGACTGTGATTTCAGGTGGTTTACTAAGGGTTTATGTTTAGTCTATCTTTCTTCTCTGTCTGAACACATCTTCTATCATCATTATCACTGCTTCATATTTTTGTGGATGAAGCTAAGGAGTTTCACTGGAATAATTCTCTGCACTGAAACCCTAATATCTCATTTTTAGGGCCCGTTAAACAGATGTTTAACAGGGATGAGAAACTATTCAAGCATCTTGGAAAAATCCTGAGGAGATTGTTGTTTTTGATCCCTGAAATCTGAGCCTTCAAGGAAAATGCTCACTGCAAAGCAAATTTTAAACTGCTGAGGTGCTTTGATGGAGTGTGTGCCTTGGCCTTTCTGCTCCCACCCCTGCTTTGCTGCTAGACAATGTTATGCCTCCTTGGCTTTTTCAAACACAGATTTTCCAAGTGTCTCAAGCACCATCTGGAGTATTCTCCTAAAATCACTCCTAACACTCCTGTCTTGGTAGGACACAATAATTCCCCCATTGAAGGATCATGAAATTCTCTAATTCCCTTCGACTTGGGAGTCTGCACTTTGCTCCACCTCGAGCATAGTTTTGCTCCAAATGCAGTCATTGGGGAAGACCATTTGGTTCATCTCCAGCCTATCCCAGGTGGTCCTCTGGCATTTCAGTCTCAAAGCAAACTTCAACAAGGGAAGTGAGTTAATTATTAACTGCATGTTTCAGCATTTCCAGCTCTTGAATGAAGCCAGAATTTCAAAGAATCGCAGAATCACAGAATGGCTGGTCTCTGAAGGGACCCATACAGGCCATCCAGTCCAACCCCCTGCAGTAAGCATGTTCCACCAGACCAGGTTGCTCAGAGCCCCATCCAAACTGACCTCAAAAGTTTTCATGGATAGGGCATTTATCACCTCTCTGAGCAACCTGTTCCAGTGCTTCAACACTTTCACCATCAAAAATTTCTTCCTTATACCTAATCAGAATCTCTTTTCTTTTAGGGTAGATTTCTTCAGAGCTTTGTATTTCCTACAAAGGGAGAATAAAAATCACCTCAATCACCACAGGCTTGATATGGAGAGGCTTCAGAGGAGCCTCAGGTCCAGCTGAGATGCTGCCCATGGACATCAGAGGTAAAGGCATTACTCCAGGAATTAATCTGGCCCCTGAGTAGAGTGCAGGATGCTGGCACCAACCTACTCCAGGCTGTGAGATGGTTTCCACAGGAACACTGAGAGCTGTAGCTCCCAGCAAGAAGTGCAGGGCCTCAGAGAAGCAGCGGCACTGTAACCACAATCACAGCAGTTTGTCAGAGCTGCAGACTTGTCCCCAGTGCTGGGTGAAGCTGAGCTGAAAGCTGAGCTGAGGGTCCCTGGAGTTGGGACAGCCCTGGCCAAGCATGGGAGGCTGGGCCAGAGCAGCTCCTCTGTCTCCCTCACCCTTCCCACAGGTCCATGTCTGTCCCAGCCTGGATGCTGAGCAGGGAAAAGTGGAAGCACTCAGCCAAGCACTATTTTATGCTGCTGCCTGATTGATTTTAAGCTGTTCTTGCTTCGCAGCCCCCCTCAGGACCGGTTACGTAAGACTGAATGTGTTTGTTTGCTGCCTGCAAGCCCCTCGTGTGCTGGTAACACCTCAAGAGCCTGCATTCAGAACTGGAGCTGCAGCCCTGCTTGGCTCACACTGCCGGCTCTGCCCTGCACCACCAGGGCTCGTGGGGGGACAGCAGTGTCACTGTCCCCAGCAGAGACACCGTGGTGAGCAGTGTGTGAGAGTCTGTCCGGATTTTCCCTTATCTGCCTCACGATTGTCATTGGGCGACCACTGAAGAGAAGACCCCCCCGTCTAGAATCTCTGGCTCTGAAGGAGAAAGTCACATGCCAAAGGCCCTGAGACCTGAAAGAACAGTGTTAAGCTATTGTTTTTACAGGTGTGTTTGCTGTGTGCTAAGGGGGCACCGTGCCCTTTTTGCAACAATAGCCTTGGAAGCTGTCCCACCTCT